ATCTTCCTTCCAGATTTGATATTCCGAGCATCTTTCGAGGTCCTTCCCCAACACAGCCTCTCCTGGGAAACCTCCCCAGATGCCATAGGGGTGTGTGTGTGTGTGTCTTTCTCACTCCCTGTTCCCCATTTGTCCCAATCATAGTCATTTGAGAAGGTGTCTCCCCACCTCACAATGCCAGAGGTTATGGGATGTAGTCCCCTGGCCTCAGGTTACATTTGGGGAAGCTAAAAACTCCAGATCTGGCAGCGATTGAGAGAGGCAGGCCTGGTGGGAAGAGAGATTGCATTCCCATCGTCTCCCCTCCTGCCTTCCACCCTCAGTGGAAGGCTTTGCATGCAGGCACTCGATAAATGAGTATTTGGCTGAACTAAATTTCCATGTGTTTAATCCCCTGTGCTTGCACTTATGCAGATCTATCCAGTGCCTGAGTTTTGGAGTTGGGTTTAGGGCATCTGGGTGCACCCCTGTGACCTGAGTTGGGTGGCTCCAGATAGAAGCAGGCGTTTGTCAGTGTCTGGAGACGGACTTTGAGGGGAGAGGTATGTCGGGGGTCAAGAGGGCTGAACTTCCTAATCTATTAGTTGCTGGAAAACGGGGCTTAGAGGTTAAGAACTCCTGCTTTGGGGCCCAGTCTTTGCCACCGTGACACCAATAACTAAGAGTTAGGTGAGTCCTGAGTGTGTCTGAAGATTACGTCGCCCACTCCAAGATCAAGGAGTTAGCAGTATCAGTGGCAAAGCACCTGGGCATGTGGCCCCAGACTGCTTCTGTGCTGGGCTCAGAGCCTCGGTGCACACACACGCCTGCAGTGGACACCCCCCCCCAGTTGCTCTTCTGATCTCGGCAGTCTCCAAGCCCAAGCCCAGGAAGGTTCTGAGAGGGCGCGGGAATGGGGGAGCAAGGCAAGGGCCAGAGAATACAGTGTATTGATTTGTTGTTTTAAGGGCCAGCACCTTTCCCTTAAGGGTGAGTTAGTAAGTCACCATTGTTGTCACAGTTAACCTTCCACCAGTTTTCAAAGTAGGTGCTTCGTAAAATATTGTTGTAGTTTTAAATAAGAATAATAACATTAATAATTTAATGTTATCTGTGCCAGGACTCTATCCAGTCGGAGACAAACATAAGGTCATATGGGGGTGGCGTGTCTAACGGCTGGCACTAGCTCCCACCGACAAGCCTCTCCCCGCTCCCAGGTCGAGCCAGTCCAGTGTGCTGAGAAACATTTTCTTTGTCACTTTCTGCCCAGGCAGCTGCCAGTATCTCCAGGAACCAGCGGAGAAGAGCCTCCGCTAGGTAGTCTCTGAGAGCCTGCTGCCATTCCTGCCCTTGCCCGCCAGGACCTCAAATTCCTGGGAGAACCACCTCCGGGGCCTTCGGAAGCAGATCCCAGACTGAGAAGTCGATAACACCCTTGGCCCATGAAACAGCTAATTTACCTTATTAGAAAGAAATGCACTCTTGGAGGTAGTAAAATGGGCCGGATCTTGGTCTGAAAAATAGGCGCATAACACTCCTTTTCTTTCTGTAAAGGCCGGGACAGAAATCCAGCTTGCTCTGGGCCCTGAGCGTGGCAGGCGTCTGCGGCAGGTTCCAGCCTCCCGGTGGCGCGGGGCTCGGCTCACGCACCTAGGCTGAGAGACGAACAGGAGCGCAGCACCGGCTGCTCCTCCCTGCAGATTCTGGGGCGGGGCTCAAGGAGACGGCGCACGGCCAGGGGCTCCTCACCTAGAAGCTGCAAGTCGGAGGCGAAGGCTGGAATGTCTCCTCTGCGTAGCCCCAGGCCTCCTCTCCTCCCCGC